CAAGCCATGGGCTGTGGGTTGGTGAGGAGGTGAGGGAGGTGGGGGAAAAGTGCAGAATTCAAAAAAAATGAAAGCTGCTAAATCAGCCCCTTTCCATAGATCCCATCCTCAGCCGCACTAGCACAAGCAGGTGCTCTAAATCTGCTGCGTGCAAAAACGGAAATAACATCAAAAATAGCCACCACACCTGTGGCGTGTTGAAAAAAATCAATCATTCGCCATTGCTCGTCTAGACCAATTGAAATGGCACCCTCAACATTCGCCGAAGTCATTTGAACACCTCCCAAGGTGCGCAAACGTGAATGGATCCGGTACGTATTTGGCGGCCAGCCTTCCATGGGCCTTCGGTTCAACTCCTCCCCGCCCGCCTCCATGATGAGGAGGTGGTGCAGCTCATTGTCCTCGCCAAAAAATAACATGAGCAGCTCATTGTCCACGAAGGTCTCTCGCGCTCTCGCCTTCTCTGCTGGGATTCTGTGATTCTACCATCCCAACATATGATTTAGCCGCTTCTCAAGAAGTTCCGAAGGAAGCCACCCTCCAGCAATTCTGCCTTCGCAAGTCCCTAATCAAGGGCGCTTGTCATGTGTTCCGCTTTGGCGAATCCTTCAAGCAAAGGCTCCCAAGCAAAGTTACTTGGGGCTTACTCTTACACAACTGCACAACTGTCAAATACAATGGGACCAGTCTCACGTCCTCGGCTGGGGACGGAGACAAGACTTGTGGATCGAGTACTTCCAAAGAAGAACTCAAGGTTTGTTCCCCACAGGATTCAGGAGCAGGGGATCCCAAGCTTTTCATCCAATTCATATCTCTGGGAACCCCTCGCTTTTGTGTGTGTCTCTTGGGCAGGAAAACAAGTCAAAGCAGATCTCCAGGCAAGAAAAGGCTGGAGGATCTCAAGGACCCCGATCACCAAATCAACCCATGCTGTGTGTCATGACAAGAAAACAAGCTTGGTCTTCAGCACCCAGGCTGAAAGCGCCACTGCCAGCGGGGTTTCCCGTAGTTGTCAGAGTTCAAACACGTATCAGGAAATGCAAGGAGCGACCAAGGCCATCTTGCTAGCGGGCCCCACCTCCTCCGCGGAGTGGATGTGGCGAATTTCCGGAGATCGCCACCATCCTGGCACCAGCACAGGTGGCCGTTCCAGAGAGACTCAGTCAGAGTGTTTTTGTTGTTCAAAGGTGGCTTTATCAGTCATTTGGCTCGCTCCAGACATCACAAAACAACTGCAACTAAAAAAGCCCCCGTTGACTCAATGCAAAGCTTCGGATCAGTGACAGGACTAGCAGCTTTAACCTCGCGGGCCACCAAGCCCAGTCTCGAATTGCATGGACCCGAGCCATAACTACCACAAGCAAAACTCACTTTGCAACCCTGCTGATTCTCTGACAGTCCGGTGAGAAACCTGAATCTATCCATTCCACTCGTGGAAAGCCTCTCTCTCTCAAAGGTGTTTTGTAGCCACAACAGGGAGAATGATAGCAACCTGGTACTGATCATACTGACCACTGGTGACTAGTGGGAGCCATCTGTTTCTTTTTCAAACAGCATTCCACTTTTGGCACAATTCTAAAACTGAAGGCTACTTTTAGGCTGGTCGAACTCAAACTAAATAGAGGTACACCAAACACGTGAAAAGTCATTTTTTGCGGGAGCAGCGGAGCTCCAGTTGCTGTGTTCGGGCCCGCGCCTAAGGATTCGTAGAGGTGCAAAACCTCTGGCGGTCACAGCTTGATGCATCTCACAGACTTGGGATGGGTATCCCAGAAAAGCTTTGGAGGTGACCTCCCAGTTCTGAGACAGGGCCATGACTTATCAAACTGGCATGGTTGATCCGACCCAAAAGGGAGAGACAAGACCTCATCACGCCAATGTGCATGATAACCAACTCAAACATGGCCCTCACCCCGGACCCCATGAACAGTGAAATTGGGCTCCCAGTTTCGAAAGTCCCCATACGCCGAGCCGCCTGAAAAGACAGCTCATCCCAAGGCAGTGCCCTCAGACACCTTCCCTTGCACCTTGCCATTTGACTCCAAACAACGGAACTCGTTCAAGGTGCTCGTAAAGCCTCTTGATGGAGCCCCTCTACTTCCGCCAACAAAAATACCGTGAAAAGGAACTCCCTGACACAATGAATGCCAAGAATTAGTTGCCTGTACAAGGGTGCGCATCCACTGCATTTACCAGCAGAGGGAACTACAAGGGTTTCCTGTAGCCTGTCGCGCTTTTCATACTTGGGCACCGAAAAGACAAACGTTTGGACGTCCAAGAGAGAGAAGCCACTTGAATCATTAGCCCCTCAAGGGTAAATGGTGCGCCATTCATGTGATTGCTAAAACGTTTGTCGCACGCATCATTCACAGAGTAGGTTTTCTGAGTGGAGATGCTCGTAGAGACCGAGCACCCGGCTGTGATGTAGGAGAAGTATGGCAAGCGGGCCACTGTCTCCAGAACCTGAAAATGCATGGTCACTCCGCCCCAATTGCAAGTGCTGCTCATAAACCATCTGGGTGACTGGGTGTTAAGTAATAGTGGTGTGGAAACAACAACACTGAGTACGTTGGGTGGCGCCCAGTGAACCTCCCGATGCAAGTTTCCCAAGTGGAGCAGTGGAACTCACTCTCTGACCACTTGCCATATAACTGGGAAACCATCCAAATAAGCAGTCTTGGGCTTCAGCTTCGCTGAGCGGGTCATGTCGCGCGCTCCCCTGCCAATAGGCATGAAACCCCGAAAATGCCCCTGTCACAAAACATCCAACATTCCTTCTTCAGTTGCTTTTTAGTTCTCAGTCTTGAGGAGAGAATCGCCCAACAATTAGCGCATACTGCGAACTGCTGAATTTGTTCAATGGACCCCGTGGACAACCTTTCGCTTCCTGATTGCTTGCTTGACCTTGGAAGGGGAGCAAAAATTAAAATTTTAGCAGTGAAGGGGGGGATTTCCCGTCAAACCACAATAAGCAAAAATGTCAAATGTTTCCCAACAACAACCATGATTGTTGGCTGGCTTTCGTGGAGAACACAGTTCTTCCAAAGAGGTCAAAGTGGAGGCCCGGCCAACGAGCCACCAAATGCGACTTCCCCCTTTTTCCAGGCGCTTTTTCCAGGCTATCCTTTCTTTGGGGGTTTCTGACCATCCCTAAATGACGGATCCCCTACTAAAAACATGGCCAGAAGCCTGATATCAACCACAAACGCTCCGACGTCTGCTCAAACCAAATTCAGGCAGAGCCTTGCAAGAGAAACTGGAATCTGGGGCGCTGCCAATTGGTTTGACTGTGACAGCAGGCGCATCTAGACCATCAGGTGGGATGAAGACCCTCTTTTTCAAATCTCAAGAGGAGGTTCACTCAGCCAACGCCGCATTCTCACACCCTACATGGACCACTGGAGAGCCACCGTGCTCTTGCGTCAGTCATCGGAGCAGGAACCCCGTGCACTCACAGATCACTCATCGCATGGACACCCAGCAAGAGGAGCCACACCTTCTAGACCGAAACTTGAAACTTGTGCAACGGACAGTGGTTCCAGACGACAACGCCATTCTTCTGGGTTATCAGGTCTTGCCTGTTGATATGCACATGAGCCGCGAGCCCCTTCAAAACTCTTGGCAAGGAGCCGGACATCCATCACTGTCATGAGGATTGCGTCCGCAAGTGCAAGTCATGGAAAGGGCCTATGTCCTCTCCCCACAATCTGCAGACCGCCACGCGTTCGAAAATCCGGCGACGCCCCAACACAAACGAGCAGGGCCATGCCCCACCATCTGTAACATTCTGATCTTGTGATCTTGGATCGCAAGCTTCGCAATGCTTTGAAAACTGCCGGCCACCGGTTGCAAGGCTCGCTCTTTTCTGGGTGGAAAAGCAATGTTATTGATCTGAACTCGGCGTTGTGCCCGGCCACCCAGACCTGGCACTCTGGAAAACACCTGCGACATCGTGGTAAGGGACATGATTGCTACTGTTCGTCTTTGTGGCTGGCACTTGTGGACGCGATAGCACTGATGTGACCTTCCTCAGCTGCGATAGAGATAAAAACGAAAGGAATCAAACTTGAGCGTTGGTCAATGTCTACCTCGGGAGCTGTCCAGGAAGGAAACCAACCAAGGAGGGACTCAGTGGGCACTTGGTATTGATACCTCACACGCTTTGGAGAATTGCTGCCTCTACAGCCTGCCACGGCTTCAAGGACAAGCTACAGCTCAGCCACCAGCAAAACGGTTCAAGCTTGCCAACGCAACAAGCTAACTTGGCAACATTGGAGTGAGCTTTCTTGCACTTCACCCGCACCGCATCGCTGCGCACCTGCCCTCATTCGCTTAGGCTTCCTCAGAGTAGGCCTAGCCAAACGACGAAAGCCTGTTGGAGGGCACCTGGAAGATGATTTTCCTCTTGGAAAATACCTTGTGTCAGGTGCCATGTTAGTGGTAAAAAGGACCGTAACACAATACCACGGAACAGCTGAGCGTCTGCAGTGCCATTGCGCCAGGCGCGGATGGGCGATTTGCTGGAAGGCAGCGGGCGGCCACAAGGGCGGAGTTTTGGATAGCGGTCAGTCTGGAGTTTGCGGCGATGCGCGCTGGGTGGTTGACATTACAAGATGTTGTGGAGGTGTCGAAGTGTTGGCAATGTGCTAATGGTGCGACTGCTGCCATTTTATTCCTTCAAGAATCTTCTGCTAGATTGCTTTGGATGACGGCAACACGGGTGTCTCGCTGAACTTTGTGGTTGTAGGACAGAACTCTCCTGTCTAACTTGAGAAAGGTTCGGATCTGGAGATCTGGAGGCTGCACGGGTAAGCCAAACATGCTGCTTCTTTGTGTCTCGCCGATTCTTGGCGTGTCGGCTTCTCGCTGCATCGGTGTGGCTCGTAGTGAGGATTTCTGCCTGCCTTGGGTTACAGCCCGCACCGACCGGTCTGAGCCACGGGCAGGCGGCCGAAAACGCAGCGCTACGCGGTCTGCTTAGCGAAACATCCATTTGCTTATGTCCTCTGGAAACAATAAGACTAATGTCCAGTAGTGATAGATTCCCTTCAAAATTAACAGGGGGAAATAATATATATATATATATTAAGCATAATATATATATATATATATATTAAGCAAACTCTCTCTCTCTCTCTCTCTCTTTCTGTTCTTATGCTGAACCAACCAGAACCCCTTGGAGGGACTCGCAGGCCACTTTGGCGATCATTGTAGCTTGGACCTCCAATGGATTGGGCCGGCTTTTCCCGCTACCCTCCAAGTCCCTTCACCTCCCTCCACTTGCGTTTCCCTCCGCTTCGCTCCACCATTCTCCGCTGTGCGCTCTGCCTTTGTCGAAACCGTGCGATGGTGTGAGAAAGAAAACCATCGATGATCCCGAAACAAGAGTGCTCTGTGAAAGGAACCAAACCTTTCACGAAACTGGGCCGCCCTCAGATCCCCCGCTAAAAGTGAATGACTTTTGGTGGGTTAAATGGAAACGACTAAACACTGAAAGGCTAAAACGAAAGCCAAGGAACCGGATGGCTGAGCCACCTTTCATGTGAGAAGCGTAAACCTCAAAGCCCGGTGTCCCTCGGGCTGCCGCGCCCAGAACTTCTGAATGGGCCGCTGCTCGTAGAGTCGGTCCAGGCTCCAACCTCAGGGACCAGCACACCCCCGACACCAGCGACCCTCGGATCCCCCGACTGCCGTGGGGGTGGAGGTGGAGAGGTCTCGGAGCGCGCGAAGTGAACGTTCAGGTCCCTCTCTCTGAGCAATTGGGTAATGTGGTCCACCCAAAACATGAAAAGCTAAAGCCGGTACAGCCCATGTGGTCCACCCAAAACCTAAGCGGCCAGACTCAAAAGGGTCTGTTGAGGATAGACTTCATCTCGAGAAATACCCCTCCCTGAAGTTCCCCAAGGGTCCATGACAAATGAAACGGAGCAAACGAGTCTGTAACACATACTGTGCGGATGAGTCGTCTGTGCAAATGTAAGCTTCGGGACCTCAAAGGAAACCAGACCGCTGCCCGTTGACGTTTTTTTGAAAAAGGTCCCATGCTCACCCAGTGACCATGGGGAAAAGAGGGATATGTTTTGTTGGCTGACTTTAAAAGCAAGGATGGACAACTGGGTGCGGGAAAATTTGGGCAAACTGCATATGTTCAACATGATCCCAAGCCCTCCCAACGGTTCCCTGGACGAAGCCTCTGATATGACCTGAAGAAGAGATATCTTTGGACCTTGGAGAGATAGTTTGGGTGTGCGGATCTTATGATACATTCGTCCACCTGTCCGCTTCAATTGAAGGGAGTCCAAACCGGCCGACCACGCGGCACGGGGGAAGTGTCTATCCCCTCGTCAAGAATTGACCGAAGGCCTGGAACGGAGCCCCGCCAGGTCTAAAGCTGCTCCCACGTCTTTCTCTCGGCGCGGCTCGGGTTGGCGTGGTCGCATATTCCAGGCCATTGGGCCCTCCGTGTCAGCTGAAAAGCGTGCGGCCGTCAAGGCACAAGCAACCAGCCCAGAGGTACAACACCTTGTTCAGGTGCCCAAAGATTAGGGAACCCCTTTCAAATTTCACACCTGGGTCTAAGTGCTCATGCAAAGAAACAAATTCGAGCATTCCCTATCGGTGTATCAATCGGGAATTGAACTGCCCTTTTGGAAGATGGTTCAAACGAACCAAAAAACATCCTGCTGTTGTATCCTTTTTGCATAATGCATCTAGATCTAAGTGATCATCGGAAGATGTCCGTTACTGCAATAAAAGACACAAACATCGGCCCAGTATGGGTGTACCGTGTTGCCCCTTTTTGGGACGGACGCCAACAGGAAAACAACTATCTATGGTTGGGGGTCGCCTAGTTTTGCGAACACATCCGTCTGAGTGCTCATGGAAAGTACAAAGAGTATGTATAATGCAATGTGTGCCGAGGTAAGAAAAGATGTTATCCGATTTGGAGGGAAACCAACTAGTACCTGGTTTCTTTTTGACAAACCGAGGTGCTCATGGGAGGATCAACTGCACATGTACCAAGTATCGAAGTATTCGGGCGAGCATGCGCTACATTTGTAGGGGTGACTACAGGAACACCAAGAGAAGACCAACCATTGTGCGGGGCGCCCCTACCTTATGATACATCTGGGTTTAAATGCGTCTGAAAAAGTAAATAGCACATGTCTCAAGCATCCGTTTTACCGAGGTAAGGCGACAAGAGAGAAGACAGCCCACACGGAGGGTGTTGAAACTCCAGCGCTTCTCGCATTGGAAAACTTTAGCCGGGAACTGGCGCTTGGGCGGAAGCGTTGTCCACCCGACGCTGCCCGGCAAAATCATTGACATGTTGGTCAAATTGGCTGCGCTTGCTGCTAGCCTCCTGCAACGCTACAAGTCAGTCTTCGGGCTGCTTTCTTTCCCATCAAACTGCCTTTTTGCTGTGAAAAAACAGACTTTTATCTACGGCCGCCAGCGCGCGCGCAAGAGATGGAACACCCAGGTTCCAGAGCTCCGCGTTCGAAGCCCAGGAAAATAAGCTGCGACTGCTGAACAGTTGCAGCGAAAGTTCTAAATTGGCGATGCTTGACGCATCCGTCGAGCGTTGGGTCAGCTGGCCCAAGCCCAGATTCGAATCCCTTGCCGGTGGTTAAGGGAAAAGGGGGGGGTGCAAATCGCACCAACCGGCAAAAAGCGGCCACCTAGCACACCTGCTTGTCCGTCTCAAGTGTCACCTCCGCAGTGGCGCCTGCCGAGAGCGGTGAACACCCTGCATCTATTGCTGTTGGCCACTTCAGGAGGAAAATATTGCCCTCTCAGAACTGTGTAACAAAAGTAACAAAACATGCTAGCGGGTCAATTTGGTCTGATTTATGGCTGTACTTTGTGTGGCAGGTGCGGCACGGTGAATTTTCACTGTGTGTTCAGCTGTAATACTATGGAAAAAGGCTTGCAAGTGCGAAAATTGACCGCCGGCCAAGGAGAACAACCTTTGTTCTGGTGAATGTTGACCCAGATTAAACACAACCTGTGGATGTCGGAGGTTCAGAGTTTTGGAACTTGAGTTGTCGAGCTTTGTTTTGGCCCAAAAAACTTGGTCAAGGATTGCCCGTGCTGCCAAACCTCCCTTGGAAACGAATGAAACCCTTCTGATCAAGGGAGAGGGCCCTGTTAGGTGGTATTTTCTTCCCGAACGCTTCTGCTCGATAGTTGAGGGCGCTACTATTCAGCGGTCACCAACACGGTAGCTAAGCAATGTTTGGTTACCTCAAGGGAGGCTGTCAACACCGTCCCTGTGGACCCTGGCCCCGGCAAATAGTTTTTTCTTCGAGAGCAAAAGGAATCAATCGACCGCTTGGCCCAATTTGCACTCCCTCATTCTGGTTGAACGCCCCCGTTGGATTTGCAAAGGAAATACATAATAGCTACGGGAAGGGAAAAAGTGATTCGTGCCAAGCATGCCGGGTCGAAAACCACTTCCCACACGCGCCTGCGCTGCTGTTGGGGAAAAAATGAGAGCGTCATGAAGGAAGCGCTCTGGCCGAGAAAAAAAACTCTTCCCTCCACCTTCACCAACTCACCAGAGCCTGCCACAGGGTTCCTGCCCAATTGCATGTCAGGTGACCCAGTTGCATCGCTAGCTTTTTGGAACCAAGTCCAGAAGACCAAGTGCTCGCCTTTTTGAATCTGAGCCGCTTGGTCCCTCAATCCCTCCAGCCGGAAGCGGGAAAGCCGGCCTTGAGGGAGGGTGTTCTTCACGCCCAGCTCCTCGAAGACGGCCTCAGCAGTCCGTTGGCCCGCCAAGAAAAAGGGAACCCCTTTTGGTTGGAACCCTCGCAAATGGAAAAAAACGACAACTGGCAGGACAAGAAGTGGGGGTCAACTATATACCTCACAAACAGATCAAATACGCTTCTAGGGGGCCATCTCATGTATTTAACATTAAATGGCATGGTTTCAAATGGACAAGCCTGAGGTGTCATTCTTCACGTGCACTTGATGGCAAAAAGCGATGGGGGCCAACTAGGGGAGGGTTTCATGTTGGCTCCCGTTGAAAAGCGCTAGACACAAAGCCATATGGGTATAATGACCAACACTATTCACACAAAAACTTACAGTGATATCCTGGAGTTCCCGCTATGTGGGACCGCTTGCTTGGACACTAGACACAATTCTTGATTGCGGACCATGCTGGTGTGTAAGCGTTTCTACGCTTACACCTGCAATTCAATCACGGCCCCTCAAGGAACGTTTCGGCGGAATCCACGGCACCTTTTGGTCGTCCCGTGCGCCTTGGTCAGACTCCCAGTACACCTCCCGCCTCGTACTGCAGGGCCGCGTTGCTCCAGGTGAACTCCGCGGCGGCGGCCATGGCCGCCCTCTTCATCTGCACCACCTGTGCCAAAACTCCACGTCCGGACAACTCCGGTGGGGCTGGTATCACTCAGAGAATGCGCGTCTTCTTGGGCCCCAAGGAGCCAGATCAAACCTGCTATATTTTCCGGTGAGCTGGGCCATTTATGGCGGAAAGTGACTCAAGGGGAATCGAGAAAGGGTGCCGCTAGGCACCCCGGTTCCTTGACTCAAACTGAATATCCACACCTGGCCGCAGAAAGGCTAGGTTCATCAAGTCTCAGCGGCCTTAGCAAACCTCAGCTCACCGAGCGGCGCAGCTTTCTCTACCGCCTGGTCATAAAGGTATGCTTGTGGCCCGGATTGAAAAGGCTGGGCAAATATGCGGCCCGGATCTCGAACCTTTTGGGCAGTTCGGCAAAAATACATGCAGGCTTTAAAATGTGCACTGGCGGCTACCATGTACCTAGCACCATATCCACTCCGGTCAGGAGCCCCATCATTATCAGTGGAGGGGGTGGGTATTTACCTACGGTGGTCTTGAAATTGGGGACCCACTTTGGCATGCACCTGGTCATGAAGGTGGCGCAGAAGGCAACCTAGGGAGTGGCACCTTGATCTAAAATGGTCAACCGCTGAGTGGATTGGGTGCTGCTTGGTTCCCCTCAGACTTGTTCGAAAGAACCGCGTGTGGTGTTGTCATGGCGGGCCGGGTCCCTTTCCTCCAAATTGTGAACATATGATCCCCGTTGCCATGAGAAATCACAATCTAAAACGAGCATCCCGTCTGTGAAACAAGAAATCCCTGAAATGGCGGGAACTACAATCCCTCCAGGCACACCGGCTCGCCGTGCTCTTTTTGGGCTGCTCCCTTTCTTAGTCAACAACACAAGGTGAGCTTAAAAGCTGCCCCTAAGCCAACTCGACAATCCAAAACGATCCCAAACCGTCCCACTGACCAACCCGCTAGCAAGCAAACAACAAACCCAGGCCACCCCAACCAAAATCCACTTTCACGCAAGGATGCGTGTTTATGTGTTCTTTTTGGGGTAGCGCAAGTATGCAAGGTCAAAAACATACGCCTCCTTGGTCTCCCTTTCACCTTTGGCCGGTTTTCTCAGCCTCGGCCCTAGCGCCCTGTGGAGGGTGACTGGCTGGGCATCCCTCGCCTTGGCGGGCTCCCCCACGAAGAGCTTCTCCGCGCGCTTCAGGGCCTTGCTGATGGAGGCCACCGACTCCTCGCGTCGCATCTAGTCACTTCCCCCGGCCGAAGGAGCTGAAGAGAAACGACATGCAGAAGCACCCCCCCTCTCCCACCCTCCAGCACTTCCCCTATGAGCTTAGGGCAAAGGCTTGGGGATACGACGAAATCGGGTGAAGAAGCTTGTCTCAGTCATTCCAGTCAGCACCATAGAAGGTCGCCAAGCTACTTGAAGACTTTACGTAGATAAACCTGCGCGTCCCACACTCAGTGACTCAGCGTGTTCGAAGCACGAATTTGTATGTCGCTTCCAGCCACCGCAGCGACCAACAACCCACAATGATATGATCAAGAACGGAAAGAAGGTTCAAGCTGGGGGACAGATCCGATGCATTCACGGCTACGATATGGCCTAAAGTCGTAAAGACAGGAAGCGCCCAACCGGCTTCAGACCCACGTTGCAAAGAGGAAACCTGCATGTCCACTCGCCATAGGTCATCAAAGGTAAAAGCCGTGGAGGGGTTCGTTGACACTCGCTAAAAGATAAACTTATGACACATTTAATCAGCCAGAGCCGCAAAAAAAAGGATTTATTCACTTACTGGGTTATTTATTGTGTATTAATGGTTTCATTTATGATCTATGTATGCTGTTGGATAGCAGGTGTCTATGCTTTGTGATTGATTTATGTTTATGATTTGCGTATGTCATGATTATGTTGTTGTATGATGACTTATTCATTTATGATGTATTTATATGTTAGTCTATTTTCACGACAAAGCCGAGATAGCACACCAAAAAGGCATAAACACAAAAAACAAAACACAAATGACGCGTGACCCCAATCATAAAAGTTAATCCTAAACATATCATTTAAAAAAAAATGGGAGATGTGTCTCTGTGGCTACTGTGTGACTAAAGATAAACGGCTTGGCCTCTAAACTCCTAAGGTTCAAAAAGTCTGGTCCGTTGAGGGCCACTCGGAGTCTGGTCCGGGATGTAAACGGGCTCAGTCTCTTGACAAGGCGTCCCCTGGTTTACCCTTGGGATGGGGTAGCGAAGGGAAACCAAAAGCAGCAATCTCAAACTCAGGTTGCACCCAAGAGTACAATAACCACCTTCCTTACCCGGCTGGCACCACTACGGGATCGGCTTCATTCACATGTGGCCTTCCTTTCCCGTCCTCATCGATGACGGCCTCAACAGACATCTCACTGTCCGTCCAGATGCCGTTGACACCGTCCTGCAGCCAATCTAAGATGGCTTGCACTGCCACCAAGCCACTACCCAAGGGAAAATCGGGAATCTAGTATCAACACTTCATACCCACTACTATGCATCGGAATAGGGGGGGTTTGACCTTCTTCAAGTCGAGTTGTCGAGTTACGTACCCTCACCTGATCATCTCGTAAGTTGTCACAAAAAGGGCCCCCTTCGATCAAAGAGTTTTGCCATTTGCCAACCCTGCATGTGACCCCGCGTCTGATGCTCTTCAAAAATCGTCAGAATCACATCCTTTTTGGATGAATCTGGGTGACCGGTGCAGTCAGAAAGACTCCGAAGACGGATGCATCCCGGCTTCCAAGACTGATTCCATCTAAAGCGGCCTTCCTGAAGTCTGAGTTGGACACCACGGCCACTGGGCGAAATTTGGGTGTCTCCCTTTTTTTTCCCCAAACGGTCGACACTAAACCGGGGGAAGCACTGGTTCCCCCTGTCCGAAAAACCGTCCTCCACGGTATCCTTCAAGCCGCCGGTGGGCGCCACAATGGGCAGCGTGCCCAAGCGCATGGCCTCCATCTGCACCAGGCCGCAGGGCTCCCACCTGCGAAGCCGACAGTCGAACGGTCCATGATGCGGCAAGGGGCATACCAGGTGATTTCAGCACGGATCCGGATGCATTATACACCTGATCATTGCCTTGGAGATGGTGGTTTCCCTTTATTGTGGTGGAAAATGCAACATGGTTCAAATGGTTGCAAAATGTATTTTTCAAGAAGCCCTGGGAAAGCAGGGGAATATCAAGTGAGTTCAATACGCGGCTCAGGAAGTGGAGCAACTAGCGCTACATTTCTATCACTGTGTATTTGTTGTTTTGTCTGTATACACCTTCAATTGTCTGGCCGGTCTGGCCTGTTCTGGTCTGTTTGTCCGTCCATGGCTGCTTCCTTGCCCACTCAGTTGCATGCTTGCTCTTGCGTTTGCTGTCTCCTTACTTATTCGCAGGAGACCTCAAAACACACACACACACACATACACATACACATACACATACACATACACATACACAGACACAGACACAGACACAGACACACAGACACACAGACACAGAGACACAGAGACACAGAGACACAGAGACACAGAGACACAGAGACACAGAGACACAGAGACACAGAGACACAGAGACACAGAGACACAGAGACACAGAGACACAGAGACACAGAGACACAGAGACACAGAGACACAGAGACACAGAGACACAGACACAGAGACACAGAGACACAGAGACACAGAGACACAGAGACACAGAGACACAGAGACACAGAGACACAGAGACACAGAGACACAGAGACACAGAGACACAGAGACACAGAGACACAGAGACACAGAGACACAGAGACACAGAGACACAGACACACAGACACAGAGACACAGAGACACACAGACACAGAGACACAGAGACACAGAGACACAGAGACACACAGACACACAGACACACAGACACACAGACACACAGACACACAGACACACAGACACACAGACACACAGACACACAGACACACAGACACACAGACACACAGACACACAGACACAGACAGACACCAGACACACAACACACAGACACAGACACAGACACACAGAGACACAGAGACACAGAGACACAGAGACACAGAGACACAGAGACACAGAGACACAGAGACACAGAGACAAGAGAACAACAGAACACAGAGACACAGAGACACAGAGGACACCGAACAACAGACACACAGACACACATTTGCCACACAGACACACAGACGCACAGACGCACAGACGCACAGACGCACAGCAACACAAGAAGAACAGAACAACCTAAAACCACACAGAACACAGAGACACAAGACACAGAGACACAGACACACAGACCACATCACAGACACTCAGACACACAAGACACACAGACGCACAGACGCACAGACGCACAAGACGCACACACACACACGCGCACGCACACACGCACGCACTCCGCACCGCAACGCACGCCACAAAAGCACCACGCACGCACCTCACGCACAGCACGCACGCACGCACGCAAGCACAAAAACGCACAGCACGCCGACGCACGCACGCACGCAACGCCACGCACGCACTCACGACGCACGCACGCACCACGCACCATGCACGCAACGCTACGCACGCACGGCGAACGCACGCCACGCAGCACGCACGACGCACCCACGCACCCACGCCACGCCACGGAGTGACTGAGGTCGCACGCACGCACGCACAGCACGCACGCAAACGCAACAGCACTGACGCAACAGAACGCACGCACCGGCACCCCCCGCAACGCCCGCACCAAAAACACGCAACGCACGCCACGCACGCACGCACAGCACAGCACCCACGCACAGCACAGCACGCACGCACGCAACAGCACGCACCACGCAGACGCACACGCACGCACCGACACGGCCCTGCACGCACGGCACGCACCAACGCACGCAACGCACGCCCGAGTGGGGCCGTCCGGAATCGCACGCAGCACGCACGCATCGCACCGCACCGACGCAACAGCACGCACGCACCACAGCACGCACGCACGCACGCAACGCACTGCAACGCGAACCGCACGCGCGGCACGCAGCACGAACGCACGCATGCAAGAGCGCACGAAACGTCACGCACGCACGCACAGCACGCACAGCACGCACATCACGCAAACCGCAACAAACCAGCACGCACCACGCACGCACGCACGCCACGCACACGCACGCAACGCACTCATCGACAAACGCCCGCACGCAACGCAACGCACGCCGCAAGCACCACGCACACTCACTCACAACGCACGACCCAACGCACGCAACGCACCGCACGCAATGCGCAACCACCGCACGCGACGCACACGCACAACAGGCAGCGCAACGCCAACCGCACGCACGCACGGCACGCACGCACGCAACGCACGCACGCACCGCGCACACGCACCACGCACGCAAACAGCAACGCACGCCACAGCACGCCCGCCGCTCGCAAAACGCACCACGCTCCGCACGCACACAGCAACGCACGCACGCAACTCACACACGCAACACGGCGCACACGCAACGCACCTCAATCCCGCAACGCACGCACGCACGCAGAAACTAGCAACGCACTCAACGCAAGCCCGCAACGCGAAAAACTCAGACGCAACGCACGCACCGCACTACGCACGCACGCCGTCACTCCTCCCCGAACGCCCACGGCACGCACGCACGCACCACCGCCCGCAAAAACTGCACTCAACAGATCAACGCACGCAACCAAATACCGCGCACCGCAAAACGCACGCCAACGCACGCACGGCACGCAACGCAACGCACCGCACGCACGCACCCGCACGCACAGCACGCACGCACGCACGCAACGCACGTCACGCTCAAACGCACGCAACTGCACCGCACGCAACGCACGCACGCACGCCACCAACGCACGCAAAAACGCACGCACGCAACCAACGCACGCCCGCACGCACGCACCTGCACTATCGCACGCACGCAACCGCCACGCACGCAAACGCAACACTGCACTCACGCAAACAGCACGCACTAAACGCCACGCACGCACGCAACGCACGCACGCACCAAAACGCACGCACACGCACCACGCACGCACGCACTCCAACGCACTGCACGCATACTGCACAGCACAGCATACACGCAACGCAACGCACGCACCGCACGCACGCACGCACGCACGCACGCACGCAACGCACGCACACAACGCACCACACAACGCACTGCAACCAACCAACCGCACGCAACGCAACGCACGCACCACGCACGCACGCAACGCACGCCACACACGCGACACACTCTCGCACGCACCAGCACGCACGCACCCCGCGACGCACGCCATCGCACACGCCACGCACTCACGCAACGCACGCACGCAACGCAACGCCACGCAACACGCACGCCACGCACGCACGCACGCACGCACGCAACGCACCGCACGCACCAGCACGCACGCACCGAACGCACGCACGCACCGCACGCCACGCCCGCAACCGCACGCAACGCACGCACAGCACGCAACGCACCACGCACGCATGCACGCACACGCACGCACGCACTGCACGCACGCACGCACAGCAACGCAGCAGCACGAACAGCCAAGAAAACGCACCAGCACGCACGCCACCGGAACGCACGCACACAGCCCCAAAATCCCTCGCAAAACGGCAACGACGCACGGCCGCACGCGCCGCGATACGCAACGCACGCACGGCAGACGCACGCACGCAAACCGCAAACGCACCGCACCGCCACGCCATCCCGCACGCACGCACGCACGCAACGCAACGCAAACGTAACGCACCCAACGCACCGCACGCAACGCAACCCCGCACGCACAATACGCTACTACGCCACGCGCACGCCGCACCCAACAGCACGCACGCACCACACACGCACGGCAAACGCAAAGACGGATGCAACGCACGGGCCAAACTGCACCGCACGCAACGCAACGCAACGCAACGCACATGCACCACGCAACGCCACACGCAGACACACAGCACGCAACGCAACGCACGCAACGCACAGGCACGCTACGACACGCACCAACCACAACCCGCACGCAGTACGCCAACGCAACGCACAAGGCACCAAAAACCACAGCTACGCACAGCACGCATCGCCCAACCGCAACGCACCACGCCAACGCACGCACGCACGCACGGACGCAACGCAAAAACAGCACGCTAACGCCTAACGCAACGCAAACGCAACCACACGCACGCACGCATCGCACGCACACCACGCAAACTGCGGTTCACGAAAGGAGTGGAAAGGCCCACACTTCCAAACCAACAGCACGAGCACGCACGCACGCTACGCACGCCACAGCAACCATACGCACAGCAACGGCCACTCACGCACAGCACAGCACACGCACGCACGGCAACGCAAAAACGCAAACGCAACGCAACGCAACGGCACGCAGCGCACGCTAACGACGCAACGCTAAGCACGCCTGCCTCGTCACGCACCAACGCACGCACACCGCACGCAACACGCAACCAACTAACGCATCCGCACGCACGCACGCGACCCACCAACGCACAGCACGCACGCACGCAAAACGCACCAAAACGCGCACGCACGCACCGCACGCACAGCACTGAAAAACCGCACAGCACGCACGCAACGCACCGCACCACCACAGCACGCAAAACGCAACGCAACCGCACGCACGCACGCACTCAATTACGGCACACCAGAAACGCTCGCAGCGCAACGCACGCACACCGCACGCACGCACTCGACTCGACTCCACGCAACGCAACGCAACGCACCCTGCACGCACGCACGCACGCACCACGCAACGCACCGCAACGCCACGCAGCGCATCGCAAAAAACGCCACGCAAAACGCACGCACCACGCACGCACGCAACGCACGCACGCACGCAACGCACGCCACTGCACGCAACGCAAACAACGCACGCAACGCAACGCCGCGCACCCTCAAGACCTCACACACCGCAAACGCACTGCAGCCGCACGCACGCACGCACGCACGCACACGCACCAACAGCACACCCGCAACCGCCAACCACCGCCACGCACAACGCCAACGCACGCACCAGCCACGCACGCCACCGCACGCAGCGCACGCACGCAACGCACGCCATACGGCACGCACGCAAAACGCACGCACGCACACGCACTAGCACGCACGCAAACCCGCAAACGCACCAACCCACAACGCACGCAAACGCATAAAACTAAGCACGCAACGCACAAGCAACTTAACCGCCCCACGCACGCAACAAGCACGCACGCAAACAGCAATCGCGAAACACAAAACGCCCGCACGCAAACGCAAACGCATCGCACGCACCGGACAGCCACGCACCACACGCAACGCAACGCTACGCACCACGCACGCACCACGCCCGCACGCACACGACACGCACGCACGAGCACGCAACCGCACAGCACGCACTGCACGACGCCTGCGACGCACGCAACGCACGCGCCAACGCACTGCACGAACGCACGCCACCAACGCACTCGCACGCAACCACGCACGCCCGAACGCACGCACCGGCCCGCAACGCACGCGCGCACCACGCACTGCACGCACGCACGCACGCACGCACCACAGCCACGCACGCCTCTTGCACGCACGCACGCACCGCCCACGCACAGCACGCCACCGCAACAGCACGCACGGCAACGCACGGCACACGCACGCACGCACGCACGCCAAACAAGCACGCACGCCCAGCACGCCCGCACCGCAACGCACGCACTCCCACCACACGCACGCACGCACGCACGCACGCACGCATCCAGCACGATTGAAACCGCAGCCCGTGCACGCAACGCAGCGTCCACCGCCCGCACGCACGCACGCACGCAACCCCGCAAACCACGCACGCACGCACGCACGCACGCACGCACGCACGCACCGCAACAGCACTGCAACGCACGCACGCACGCACGCACGCACGCACCCACACACACACACACACAGTCACACACACACACACACACACACACACACACACACACACACACACACACACACACACACACACACACACACACACACACACACACACACACACGCAGCACGCACGCACGCACGCACGCACGCACGCACGCACGCACGCACGCACGCACGCACGCACGCACGCACGCACGCACGCACGCACGCACGCACGCACGCACGCACGCACGCACGCACGCACGCACGCACGTACGCACGCACGCACGCACGCACGCACCCACGCACGCACCCACACACACACACACACACGCTCCATACCCGCCCGCACGCACAGAACGCAACGCACGCACGCATCGCAACGCACCACGCACGCAACGCACGCACGCGCACGCACGCACGCGCACGCTAACCACGCCACGCACGCACGCAACGCGCTGCACCGCAGGCACGCACGCACGCACACCACACACACACACACACACACACACACGCACACGCACACGCACACGCACACGCGCAAGCGCACGCGCATGCGCACGCGCATGCGCACGCGCACGCGCACGCGCACGCGCACGCGCACGCGCGCACGCGCGCACGCGCGCACGCGCACGCACACACACACGCGCGCACGCGCACGCACACACACGCGCGCACACACGCGCACACACGCGCACGCGCACACACGCACACGCGCACACGCGCACACGCGCACACGCGCACACGCGCACACGCGCACACACGCACACGCCAACACGCCAACACGCACACACGCACACACGCACACACGCACACACACGCGCACACACGCACACACGCACACACGCGCACACACACACAAACACAAACACACAAACACAAACACAAGCACGAGCACAAACACAAACACACACAAACACAAACACAAACACAAGCACAAGCACACGCACAAGCACAAGCACAAGCATAAGCACAAACAAACACACACACACACACACAAACACAAACACAAACACAAACACACACACACACACACAGAGAGAGAGAGGCTGGACCTACGAGTAAAGGGTGGCCACTGCAAACATTGCCAAAAAGTACAGGGTCCTTGCAAGGTTGTGTGTGCCGTTTTGAGGTTGGGCACACTGCCGACAAGCCGGAAAAAAGAAAGCCACGTCATCCAAACACGAGGTGCTTCCGCGTCCACCGTGTCGGCGCTTTTGTTGAAAGGAGCTCATGACCTTCCCAGTCTTCCCCATGCCCACAGCCATGGGCCAAAAATGAAGAGAGACGGTCCCACCTGGATGTGTCCAACTACTTGTCTGGCTCCTATCTGGTCAACCGAATTATGAAACATTCCCTCAGATGCAAACGGCAAGCCTTGCTGTCTGGGTCTCTGGAAGGGAAGCGAAGCACTTAGCCTTCGCAACTCTGATTGCGAGTGCAGAGATCCCACCTATGCCCCCGACCAAAATCCCCACAGTTGACCTCAGCCGAAGACATGGCCCCGCCTGCTGGGCAGCAGGGTGAAGTCGCAGGCCGCCAAGAGGGCGTATCTCTCGGGGCCCATCCAGCCGGCGTAGAAGAACTTGTTGGGGTACTTCTTCTCCACAGCCTTAGCTCCCACGGAAAATCTGGCCGTGGCTCGGAAAATTGCGGCCATGGGTCAAATCTCGTACCCCCAGTGAACATCCCAATCCCCACTAAAATAGACGAAATGGGTGGGGAACCTAGCCCAAAATGGTACCATTGGTTTTGACCCACAGCCATGTACCAAAATGACACCCTGGTAAATGGAACCCAAGGCTAAAACCTGCGTACCCCTGGCTCTTTAATTTTGAGCCACACCTATATCAGCAGATCCGAGTGCGCGACACACACAGGGGAAGCCGAAAGCAAGACAAATCGCTGCTGTCCAGGGAACGAAAATATGGAATCATTTGCTTGCCGATTATTGCGCTCTTCATGTTTGTGCAGAAATTGGTTCGCTGGTTGGTTTGGAGCACAGGTTGGTGGCCATTCAGTTGACTCAACACAACTGCCCCCGAAAACAAAGGAACCTGAAAAAAGCGGCCGCTTGAAAAAGTGCAATGAATCTTGAGACAGTCGTTTCATGCTGCCCTTGATGGGACCGACTTTCTGGCACCGACTTTATCTTTAAGGTATTGTTTCACCCTCGTTCACAGCTGCCACTCGGCTGCTAGTCGGAAGTTGCCGGTGGCCATGCTTTAACCATGCAAGTGGCTATGAAATTTTGGCGCACTGGAGTGGATTGCCAAAAAAGGTCCAATCTGTTTGCGTGCCTCTAAGTTGACACTCTCACTAAGTGTCCAAGTGCTGGGACTAAAGCATGAGTTGTTTTGTCGTTGGTTGATTGGTTGGTTGGTTGGGTGCTGGCTGGCTGGCTGGCTGGCTGGCTGGCTGACTGGTTGCCTGGTTAATTGGTTGCCTTTGTCAACATCGGGCATCTCATCCCCTTCAAGCGGAACTTTACACTTCGCCGGGCTATTTCAGCACACGCAGCCAGCGACACGCCTCCGCCCCTTCGGGCCTTGGTCTGCGCCACCAGGTCGGCGCGGCCGGCACCCACAATCACGATCTGCATCTGGCTGTCCTGGAATGGAGCCAAGCCTGCTCACATCCATGCTAGTCGTCTCCCAACCAACCCCGGTTCCCCGAAACCAGGCCCGGTAAAATGTTACAAGGGCGCAAGCTAGACTGCAAAATTGGGATAAACAAGAAGGTTTTTGCGGGAGTTGGGGGGTTGAGGGTTGGGATCCCATGATTGTTTGGGCCGCGTTCAAAATAGGTTTCTCCAACATCTATGTTCAACCAGCAATGCAAGGCAACAGATCAAGGTTCCGCTTCAAACATTTGGACAGCTTCACCAACCCGTTTCTTGTTTTTTCCTCATGGGGAAGGCCAATGTTTGACAAACTCTGGGAAACGGCGCTGTGCATGTCAGCAGCTAGATGATTCAGCAACCAAACTGCTCTAGTCGTGAGGTCCGCCTTCCTTTTACGTTTACCTTAAACATCGTCGCGCGGGACACCCTTGGTTTGCAGTACCATGCCGAACAGTTTAAAGGGCCAAGCCACCTAGCATGGGAGTTGCTTGGATACAGAGCCAACACATTGCCGCCGCGGGGATGGTGACCGGGTGACCCATGGCTATTTTATGGGGTCGCCCCAGATCAAACAAATGACAAAGCAAACATGCTTCACAAGTTGCTTCAAAAACAGGGGATCCGAAAGGCAAAACTGCGGTGCCCGTTCCCTTCGGCTCCTCGAGAATCTCCACCAACGACTCCAGCAACAGGTCGTAGCCCTTCTGCGCGTCCAGGCGTCCGATGAAGCCTCGAATGTCTCGTGCGAGGCTTCATCCGGCTTGCATCTGTCCCCCGCAAGAAATTCACATAGAACGTGCAACACAGGTTTGGTCCTGAATGAAGAAAAAGGGAGGAGCCCCTCTTTGAGGCTTCGGATTATCTTCCGTGGAGTGCTTTGGCCCCAAGAGAGTCTTAACTGAAGGGGAACTGCTCAAGGCATTGGGCTCGGGATCCACGAGCCCAAAGGGGCACAGACTCAAAACACGGAGGCGAGGGGCGTTGGTCCCTGGCGGATTCTTCGGGTTCGAACGGCACCTGGGGAAACTCGGGAAGCGGGGTGAGAGCTGTGCGAAATGGAGGGACTAGGGCCAATCCGAATCCGGAATCCGTTTGTACAAACCGCTACAATGGAAAGCCCTCCGTCGCTTAGGGGAGAAACGGCAAAGAGAAACGCTGCAGGTTGGAGGCCTTCAAAATTGCTGCTGTCTGGCTTGGTCGAGGTGAATCAGTGAATCATGCAGGTCTGGGAGTCGCAACTACTGCCTGGAAAAAGCCGGGTCGTCACATGGTGGTTCCACCATCTGCAACCGGCTTGTGGCAAATTGCAACTTCTGCGAGAAGTGGGACCAAACCCCTGATTCCCACAACCCTTCTCCGCAACACATACAATCACTCCAAAGCCTGAAAACAACGAATCCTCACATTCATGAAAAGATATCGACCCTGAAATAAGGAAGCCCCCAACCATGGCAATGGCGGGCTCCGGGTGAAAGCTGCATGTCGCACACAGAATTTATGATACTCAAGAATACGTGTAAATTGAACATGGTCACGTATATGCGATGTTCAGAAATGCGTGTAACGTGAACATGGTTTGTCTTGCGTGTATACCTGATGTTCAATTCAGGACAATGATTGCGATATCAGACATATGCAACCCGGGTCTGCCCAACAGAAGCACCAGACTAAAACCGTTTCTCTCTTCAAGAATTGGAGGCAATTGTCACTTGCTTCAAGAACATTAAGTAGGCCAAACATGACTGAGGCTGAGATGGCATGTCCATGACATCCAATGCCAGGCGATGCGTACTGACAATGTGTGTAAGAGTCTGTTTGTGTGGGTGCGTGTGTTTTGTCCGTCTAAGTTGCCTTGTAAACTAATCAATAACCCATTCATGACCATCAACGCGATTTGCCTAAGACCAACAAGGTTTGTTGGGTTATAGGTGTTTCATTCAATACGTAGATACACGTATAGCATGCGATGTGGTCGGATGTGCAATGAAACAGATTCCCATGTCGTGCATGGGCAACTACTATTTGAAAAACAAATCGCCAAAAGTTACATATGATATTCCATGCATGAGATATTTACGCAGGTGGAGAAAAAGGATTCACGACATCGCCTTGCAAGAAGAAGACAAAACAAACTCGGCCGGGGTGCACATGAGCGGCCCCGTGGTTGCCGTGAGGTTGTTCTGCGCGCGGTAGGTGGCCTGAAAGACCCCCACAACTCACTGGCCCAAAAGGACAAAGCAATAAAAGGTCACTGTAAACGTTTGGGACCCTACTAAGAGTAGACGGTTGAAATCTTCAAGGTAAAACCAAAGAGCAACCAAGCCAAGAGGGGGCACCCTTGTATGTTGTTATTAATTTCCACGGTTTGCTTTTCAGGCCCGTTCCGGTTGATGTCCCCCGGACGGATGAAACGGAAGTCAGTGCCGAGAGGGTGTATGCTTTGCCACTTGAGCCGATGCATGGGTGTTTCAACTCAAATACGTGACCACGAAATTGGTTGGATTGATTGGTTGGTTTGATTGTGTGTGCCACCCAGGGAAGTGTCAATCGCCGCTGACCCTCCGACACTGCTTTGGCCGCCGCCAAACTCCCACCAAGGGCGCACAACACCCTAATTTCAGGCCATATCTACCAGAATTCCTTGTCAGAGGGAAACAGGATATCTGATTTGAACGGCAGATTACTTGGCAAGCGGCCAGCAAACATAGCACCTTTCGTCGATTGACCGCAAAGAGAAAGCAGACATTGACTTTCGGTAAGGTTTGCATAGACCCTCACTGAACCTCTTCCAAACCAAGGAATAGAACGCTGCCACCTCCGGACCTCCCAGGCCCGGCCGCGCCTTCAGCTCCGTCTTGGCGACGTCGCAGTTCACGGCGTTGAAGGGGCCGCAGGTCATCATCGTCTTCGTCACGAAGTTCCTCGAAAAAGAGAAGGGCCCCACATGAGTCATAATCAAAACCCGGTAGTAAAATAGTCTACCCAGAACCATGCTTCAGTCCCTGACAAACCTTCCTCTACCCGGGTTTTGATTGTAGCTCACATAAACTCCCCGCGCCTCACAGCTCAGAAGATCCTGGGTGAATGCCTTCCCTTTGTGGTTGGCCGGGAGCAGGCTCCCTGGACTAAAGTTCTGCGAACCCGTCACGCAATTAGGATTCAGGACTTGCCGAGTTGTCAACCCTCCAAGCACAAAGCGCACTTTCCTTGGTTCTCTTTGCCCGGGTCAGTTGAACCAAACCTCCAAGGGAAGAGTTCTTCACGAGGCCACTGATGCCGGTTGTCCGTTCCAGCAAAGTTCTGGGCTGCCAAAAAGACCAGGCCGTCGCACAACCCAACTTTGAACAGCTCATACGCGCGAAAAATTGAATGCCCCACCCCCCTAGGCTGAGCATCTTGTCCGCAGGCGACACGCCCTCCTTGACGCCGTTCAGGATTCCTTGCCCGCGGCTCCAAGCCCTGTTCGTTGATCCAAGCCAGCTGACAAGGTCGTCTTTCCTCCCTTGATCCCTCGAAAGGAAACTGTTCGAAGCCGGCGCAGAGTATGCCCATGCTTCGTTGGGTTCCAGAGGTGGAAAAGTCAAATGGGGAGCAGTGGGCAAATGATTCGCAAGCCACGGGCAAAGGATGCTTGGCAGTGGGGGTCTGCTTATCTCCGCTGGGATGATGGTACTGTCGGTGTAAACAGGCATCCTGATAGTACGAGGTCTGCTGAAAACGACTAACACAGGAGATTCGAAAACCCTTCCTAGCACTCGGATTTGGTGTTGGGACCGTTTCCAATTGACCTGTACAAACAGGGAGACCTCGTGTGAGCCCCTGTCAAAACCACTGGCAATGGAGAATGACATCCAACTTCTATTAGGATTATTTGCATCTGACCATATAAACCTTGACTGAGGGGATCATGCCCCATCGCTGTCCATCCCAACACGCAATAGGCAGCTATGATTGCGACTGCAACACCTCTTTCCCCTTTGAGCATCACCCCACCTAAAGGACATCTCACTGAGCATGGCAACCAATCGATGATCCTCTAAACAAAACAAAAAAAGACAGAGAAAGGGAACCCTGCGCAAAGCACAACTCAAATGTGTTTGTTTCCGAGAATGGGCTGGTGGATGGGAAAAGAGATTCAGCAAGGTCAACTAAACCAAACAGCAAAGAACAAGGCTATATAAGCGGACGTCTGCAACCCTTTCAGTCACAGCACTGCTTTGACCTCTCACCCCCAACTCTTCCTTTGCTCCCCAGTCTCTCAATTTGCCTCCAGCCTCGCATTTCATTCTCACAGTCTTCTCAACAGAGGCACCATGCCCTTTCGAACGTCCCGGAGCCTGCTTTCACAACTCTTCGTCCGATGGTAGATGGCGATAGGCTGGCCACTATCATGGATACATGAAGCATCTTGTTCGAGTTGGCTTCCGGGTCGAAGAACAACTGCCCCCCTTCCACCACATCCCTGACATACTTGACGCGGGGGAGTCTCATGATTAGCCGCTCTTCCCCATGTGTCCTCCCCCGTCGACTCCGTCCTGTGCACTTGCCCAGCTCGAAGAGCTTCTCCAGCTCCACGCCCTTCTCAGGGTCCCGGCAGCACTCCACCGCGTAGGAGGGAGACACAGTGAGCGCACGGTCCGAGTACTTCCTCGACCGCCGGGCGTTGAAGTGACACCCCTACACCCTGAAGATTACCCTTCAGACAGTGGCTTACATCACATCAACCTCCTTACCCCCCCCCACCCCGCCCTCCAAACCTCACACGGTCCCTTCTGCCCTATAGAGTTCCCTATACGCCTGCTACCTCTGTCCTAAAACTGGAGAAGCACAGAACTGAGGTCGAACTTTCATGGTGTGTTGTCCTAGAACCGTTCCCCCCTGCAAATCAGCCAAGCTAATCACTGAGAAATCATGGGCGAACAAGGATGGGAGGCATGCCTGCAAAAATTATAGGTAAGGCTGGCAATGGACCAAAGACCACTGGACATCCCGAACGAACCACTGGGGCACAGTTCCCCCCTTTGCAGCCACAGCATCAGTCCCGCTGCCATGGTGTTGACGCAAGACACCTCCCGATTCCCGGCCACTCGGTGCCAAGAAACTGGGCCCATGACTCGCCATTAAGTCATCGCCCAGTGGGCGGGCTCAGAGGCAACGGCCCTGGTTCTGACTTTGGTACCCAACAACTAAAATGTGCGCATGCACCACGACAACCGGTTTTTCCTATGGTGGCCTGGAAAGATTGCGTGGGTGCGCTGTTTTTTTATGGCGGACATGATGGACATGTCGGGTAAAACCTCCGCAAACTAGCGATAGACTGAAAACGATTCTCGGGTGTTCATATCAACAGAAACAGCAGTCTGAAAACAGCTCTGTGCATACGCGTGGAGCCAACTCGCAGGGTGCAGCAAAGAAAAGCGGTGAAAACCAGGGGGCTGCCTGCTAATAGCTCGAATGAACCCCTGCCTGATGGACTCAATAGTCATCAATTACTGCGTAATCGCGGGAAAACATTCATCTGTGGAATGGCGGCTTTTCCAGCTTTCTCCATACTATTCCATGATCTGCGCGGTTGCACTAGTGCGACACTGCATTTCTACATGCTGCCATGAGGTTGCAAAAGCAAGAAGACAGGCACTGGGAGTCCGTGGAAACAAGCCAAAGCAAACATTGCTGAAAGTCACAAAAGACAGAGAAAGAAGACGTTGACGTTTCAAACAAGTAACACAAGGAGACATACGTGCTATATCATGTCTACCGACAGCACAAACTGTGGCATGTCAACCAAGCTGTTCTCCTGGCTTTCCTAATGATTCCAGTTGATCTGTAACAAATATATTGTCTGCAAGAGTCAATTCAAACTCAAAGGCTTGAATCTGGATGAACCCACACGGCAATCACGGCAAGCGACCAATTTGGGGGGGTACGCCCGTTATCAAGAATGGCGCAACCCGCCGCTTGCGAGTGTGCGGATCTTGCGTTCGCAGTCGCAAGGAAACGAAGCATTTCAGCCATGGAATAAACCGTTGGGGTCCCATTTCGCTTCCGTTCGGCTGGTTGTCCAATGTTCACTTGATCCAAGAGCTGTGCCCTGCCCTAGCGCAGTTCTATCCCGCACATCCGCCTCAACACCTTCAAGTGAGCAGCTCGCAAACCCAGTGACTTCTGGTTCTAACAAGATGGCAATAAAGCCTGAAAAAGGCCTCGCTATAAGCAGGTAGTAGAACCACCTATATTCCAAAGCGCCGCTACTTCACCATTCCAAGCTTTGCACCCCCAAAGTGGTGGGCTGAAAGAAACCCAACGAAACTGTGACTTGTATAGCCAGCAGAAATACTCCAAAACATGGTTGCTTGGGAATAATGAACACCAAGCAAGATCAGAGGTGGCAACTGTTTAAGCGGTGGCCTGATCCGATTTAGGACGTTTCCTCTGATTCTAGTACCAATCCAGGTAATTACACCATCTTCAGTCACTGACCCCTGTTTTCTGAAAGCTTCACCACAGGTCGATTCTCGGTCTGTGAGGTCGCTCAGCCCAACGGAGAAAGGCCCTATCTCCTACCTGCCCAGCCATGGAACTTCTTGTGAGGTGTTCTTCCCCATCCCAAAAAGCGGTTCCTTTCTCTTGGAATCTCCGCTTGCTCTGACAGCCCCCCCAAATCCACTGCATTCGCTGTGCTGCTCTGGCCGCTCTTGTGCCTGCCTCTCTTGCGCGCCTTTCGCTCGCCCGGGGACGACATATCAAACGAGTCTGTGAGCCCCCCCCCACGTCTGTCAGCAGGCAGCGCTCTACCCAGAAGCCTGCCTTCTCGTTGTACTTGCCGATGCGCAGCGGCATCTTGAAGGTGATGCTGTCGATGTAACGCTGAGGCACCCCGAAGATCTCCGCGAGGCCCTCCTGGCAAAAGGGGTCCAACTGATAGAAACGGCCCCCGGGGGCCAGAACGGCGACGAACTGCTCTTCAGGTTTGGCGGTCCAATCGCTAAAGCAAAACCGAGTCTACTATTCCCTACAATTTAGGTCATGTGTTAACTGTTGGCTGTTTGGGCCTTCGGATACCCGGGGGTGCCTTCCCACTCCCTTCTTGGGTCGACAACTTGCCCCAAGAAGCCCTGCATATGGCTCCTCGTTTCTGTCCTTTAGCCCCTATCAAATCGGGAAATACAGGGGGCCGAAAGACGTCCAACCCATGGAGTCCCGCCAAATAAAAACTGGTGGTAGAGGAAGGCCATGAGGATGGTCCGAACATCGGGGGCCAGCTTTTGATGATTGAAGTCAGACGCCTAAAGGAAACCATCCCTTTTAGGTGCCTTCTTTCACGACAAAAACATGGGAAGCGAAACGCGGCTGGAAACCGAGCGAAACAAACAAACAACACCGCAACCGCGAAGTCTCCGTCCTCCCGGACGAAACGGCCCTGGAAGACAGCGTTGTGGCACAGGAAGGCGGACTTGGTGTTCTGCCACTTGCCTCGGTGAGTTGCCCTAGGGCTCCATTGGGGGTCTGGTGTCGGTGGGAAATCGATGTGAGGGGAAAACCGGAGACACTGAACCAGTGAAATTGGAGGCTTCGAACATATGGATTTGTCTCAAAACGAGGAGACACCCAAAATAGGCAGCTACCCTTTGTCTTCCCTTCAGCAACATGACACACCCTTGTCACACCGTCTCACCCACAAGAACACTCACATGTTGTCCATCCGCAGAGGGCAATGTTCACGTCCGCAACCCGAGCAAAGGCACCAGTGGTGGACTTCTCCGCGTGGATGAACATGGGCACCAGGGCGCTGTGCCAATCGTTGCAGACCACCATGCAGTCCCCACCATAGCAGGCGCCCCCCAGAGGCAGCTCCTGGACCCAACTCCCAAAGCCCTGGTCTGAAGGCCTCTTTGAAACCCGGAGAAGGCCTCTTTGAAACCCTGAGTATGGTGACAAAATGGTTGAAATAGGGGAAATAGAATGGAAAGGGTGACCAAGAGAAGCTGCTCACCCATCCACCCATTCCTTCCTCGCCTTTGTCTCGTCTGGAAAGGCTGTATGGATGCATGAATGGACCGCCCTGTCTCTCACCTGAATTTGAGATTCTTTAGGATTCGTTAGGCTGTGGTGAATGGAGAATGGGATAGCAAGAACGGTTAACTCTCGCCACGGTCAGGCTTCTCCATGTTCATAGGTACCAAGAAAGCCTGACCAGCCATCTCTTTCCTCCTGGGCCGCCATTGCACATACCTGCCGCTTCAAGCTCGCGAGCCGTGGCTCGTTTAAGAGCCCTGAGCTGAGAAAAATACACGCGCAGGTCCAATGAAACCCCCAGCCATGTTTGCAAAAACCAGCCGAAAAGCTTGCTAAAAACGATCCAAAACCCCGCCATGTTTGCTGAGAAGCCGGAGCTACCTAAACCGTTGCGCTCTCGTCACTTCGGCTTCATGCCGAACCCCCCTTGTCGTGCTTTTGGAGAAGCAAAAGGGGGCGGACCCTTTGGGAGGCTCCAATTCCCGCCCCCACCCTGGGATCAATTCCCGCTTCCTGGATGGCCTTCAACGCAGCCTTGCAGAAGTAGGCGAAGCGGGCCTCGCTCGCGGGGTGCGGCGCCGTTTTGTGTTTTTTTTTCCCGGGAGGACGCGGGAACGACACCCCGTGGAACGGGGGTGACGGTCGTTTTTTTGGTACCTAAACGATGCATTTCTGTATTCCGGAAATTGTTCTATCGCAGAGAGATTTCAGATTCAAGTAGACCCCCTCCAAAATGATCCCACCTTTCCCCCTTGTTCGGCTAAAACCCCACACCAAACATGAACAACCCAGGAGAACAACAAAATGCTAAACCTGTCAAACAGAAGACCCGAACCAAACCTGAAAAATCAAGGAGAACAACAAAATGCTAAACCTGTCAAACAGAAGAAGGACAAAAGCGAAGAGGGGTGTTCGCTCGACCTTCGAAAATATGGCGATGGGTCAAAATCCAAATCGTACGCGTACCCCCAGTGAACATCCCAATCCACACTAAAATAGGTTCTAAAATGGGTGGTGAATTCACCTACCCCAAAATGGGATCCAAAACGGTTTTGACAACCACAGCCATATCTGCGCCTGGTTGTCGGCGAAGTCCTTGCCCCACTCGGGGCCGTAGAGCTTGGCGCCGGTGAGCCCGTTCACGCGCTCCAGGAAGGTGGGGTGGTCCACGAAGACGTAGTCCACCTCAAAGCGAGAGCCACGAGGTGATTGAGGATGACATCTGGGTTTGTAATTGATTAAACCATTTACATCAGGATTACATCAGGGTTTATGTAGATTACATCTGGGTTTATAGATTACATCTGCTCGCACCCCCAAATGGTTGGAAAAACTGCTGGCATGCCTTTAAAACTAAAAGGGCAAAGCAACCAAACGATTCGTTCCACCAGACTCATCCCATTCCACATTAGGGTAGTTATTAGGGTTTAGGGTTTAGGGTTTAGGGTTAAGTTTAGGGTAAGGGACAAGGTCAAAGCAAGCAAAGCATTTGTTCAACCATACTCATCCCATTTCTTGATAATTGGCAGGGGAGGGAAAGATCAAGATTGCAGGACCTTAAGCAAAAGGGGGGCGGGACAAGATTCGGATAAATCAGGTACCTCAAGTAAGCAAAAGAGCCTTCATCAAGGCTCAACTTCTGGTGTGCTAACTAAGAATGGATCAAACCAGGAAACCATACACGTCAATCCAGGCGATTCACTTTAAGCAAGCGGAATCGCTGCTGGTTGCTGTTCGAGGCAGAGATCCATTGTCATGGCTGGTTCAAAACCACCAAATGGCCCTAAAAAACAGCCCTTCCATCCATCCTGGCCGCTGGTGCAAGCAAGTGTGTCACAAGGTTCGATGCCCCCATCCTGTTGGCAACTCGCCTTCCTGCCTTCTGACCCCGTTGTTGGTTGAAAATAAAGCGACCTCCTTTAGGTAGAAACCGGCTTACTGGGGGACCCACTTCATTTCCTCAAGAGAAGGGGCCAGAAAGCCTGCTTCCACCCAATCTCCTGAGTGGAGAATCCCAAGCAGGTGTCCAGAAACATTTTTCCGCTGAGAGGACCTTCCCAAAGGGCATTACAGGGTTCCAACTAGATGCCCCTAGAAAAACCTCCAAAAAAAGGGGCAGCTCACAAATTAAGGTTGGCAACCACATTGTGATGTGCAAAAACCGCCTAAACAAATAAGATTTGTCCAACGCCCTGCATCACTGAGTCCGGAAACTGATTGGAATGAGACCTACCCACTCGCCGAACTCACTCAACTCACCAACCCCACGTCCCACCCAACCTTCTGCTTGAAGGAGTGGAAGAAGTGCACGGGCTCCTGCAGGAATATAGGCTCAGTTGCCATGGGAAACAGAATGATGGAATGTGGGGCTGGCTGTTCAAGCCAACTGTTTACCCAACCCTGACAAGGCTAATATGTTCCGATCATTACGAAACATGGATCAAATCAGAGGGACAAGAGGTCCATTCACCTTGAACTGTCTGAAAGGTGCATCCGCGCTTCCTCCGTCTATAGGCCCCTTGCAAACAAGGCCCCACCTGTCTGGCAAAGCAGGATTCCATCCCTATGTCATCACTACCCCAAGCCTTCTGGTTCAAGCCGCTGAGGTACCTGTTGCAAACGTGTTTGGGCACCCGACTACCTTGTCAATCCTTTTTCAACGCACGTGGCGCTCTCAAGGAAGTTTAAGCGCCAAGTGCCCAGGTCAAACAGGGCAACTCATATCCGGCAGCCAAGGAGCCCACAGACCAGCAACACATTTTGCTGGCTAAAAACCCAAGGGGCAGCCTTAGCAGGGGCTGCAGCAGACAGGGTTCCAAACTTTTAAAGCTTCACCCTTCCCCTACATGGCCATTGGCCATTAGGCGAATTTGGAAGGGGGAAAACCGACCTGCCAACGCATTTCCGTACCGTCGAGTTGAGTGGGATGCCCGGCACGCCCGGCGCCTCCGGAACTTCCAGCTGATGATCAAAACTCTGTGAGCCATGGACATGCTTCGCTTGTCGTGTCTTTTGCCTTCAGCTGGTGGCATGGTGGCCTTCCCTGCCCTTCGGCGAGCGACCCGAACAGTTTTTGGCCTTTCGGGCCTGTTGACTTGATTCATGCCGTACAAGCGGCGGTGGGTGCTCATGGGTCATTTCCGCATTGCAAGCTATGGAAGTCTGGGAAAGTGAGCAGAGTCGTGAAGAAGTTGGGGATAGAAAGGGTCATGAAGGGCACTGTCACACCCGACGTATACGGCCTATTCTCCAGCCACCCAAAGCCCTGGGCAGACAAACTAACCATTAGTGTGCCCTTAACCACAATGCTCTACGTAGGACGTGAAACCTACGTCTGTCTTTTTGGGCGTATCACAAAATGGGCAAACCCATTCGCTCGGTGACCCCCACTCGGACATCGCTGAGAGCGCCCTGTCCGTCCTGCTTGCCGCCCATGGTCACATGGCTCCAGTATCCGGTGTCCCAGGCCTGCGAAAGCTCAGGTTGAAGCGTCAGGCACAGGCTCGACAATGCCAACATGTCATGTTTCGAGCTCTCTGTTGCAAAGCTATTGCTTGCTGCACTTTTCGTCACATTTGACTAAAATGCAAAATGTATGCTAGGCTACCCCAGTTGAGGGTGTCCGGGTGGCAAGCCAAAATGATGCCTGAACTATGAAGACCTATGCCTATGCGGGGGCATTGACAATTCTGGGTGATTAGCGCCCTGCCATTGCATTGCCGAGGTCTTGGTACGTACTCCTTTTACATACCGTCAACGACCCTGAAAGACTTGCTGTTCATACGCACCCCTTCTGCGAGAGGAGACTCCCCAGAGAATATCAGGGAAAGGTGGGCTTGCCAATCAAAGGAACCCACTTCAGCATGCACAACTCTGGAGCGTTGCATGAGAAATCAACGGAGCAGTGGTCCAGTTGTTGGAAATCCGACTCCCGACTGCTCACCTGATGGGGGGATTTGGGCGGATGCGAGCCTCGAGTCTTGCTGGGGACAAGTGCTTTTCCTCAAGCTGATTCGCCAGCTTTCCCAATCAGGTGGGGTCCTGAGGAAATCGTTCAAGGGTCAACAGACTCAATGGCATTGTGATGCTCATGCTGGCCTGTTGGCAGAGTGCCTGCCCTACAGCCCAGCCAGAGTGAAGTTTCAACAGTCTGCATAAGTTTACCCAGCCGGAAGTATGAGATATTCAAAGAATAGCAAACGCAATCATAGGTGAGTTCGCTTTCGCTTTGCACGTTTCAATGAGCACAATAATTCACTGGCCCCAAGAATAGTATTCCATCATGTTAGAAAATTCAAAGACAATGCATATTGGGTGTGCGAAAAACAAATGGGGAGGACTTTGATTGGTGGCTGAAATTGTGGAGTCCCCAAATAGGTCCATATCGACCCCCCCCGCCCCCGCCCCCCCGGAATCAAGAAAACCCCTGCTGCAAGTGGCCATCTTTCACTCAGAATGATGAGCATACGCAGCAGAGAAATCCCCTCTCTCGAAGTGGTCCATCCCCCCACCAAGCCAAACCGCCTCTGAGAACTCCCAAGCCCCAACTTCCTCTGCCAACTTTCCTCTTCCAACTTCCTCCAACTTTCCTCTGCCAACTTCCTTTCCCCCAAAAGCCAAGCGAGCCAACTCAAACCCGCCTCAGCGTACTGGTCGTAGCGGGGGGAGATCACCATGCAGCGGTGCCCCAACGCCGCCAGCGCGATCGGCAGGCCATCCATGGCCTCCCCCAAGCCCCCGGTCTTGCTGAAGGGCGCCACCTCCCCCGTCACGAAGACCAGCTGGTACTTCTTGCTGATCTCGGCGACGGCTGGGGTCCCCTTCATGTATATATATATATGATTATATATGTGTATATTATATATGTATGTCCCAGGTGTCCAGTAGCCATGTTTTGTGTGGGACCCTCCTGTGGATGTCCTTCTTAAGGTGTCCACGGTAGCCATGTGCTGTGTATCCATGGCACCATGGATTAGACTCCCCTTATGTCCTTTTTTAGGTGGTGTCGCCTCGGGCAGTGGGGTCCCCTTTGGATGTCCCTTAAGGTGTCCAGTAGCCATGTTTTGTGTGGCTAAAAGGGACCGCTATGGATTCGAGCGCTGCCCTCTCCGGATGCATCTAAGGTGTCCAGTAGCGATGTTTTAAGTGACATCTGAAACCAGGAACAAGGAAAAAAGTCAATCTGGGTTTACCTCAGGGATAGAACGAGTGTGGAAACACCATTGATGAATGCCCAAGGGCTGGTGAGTCATTGTGGTGACTGGTGACTTTCATAAATGAAGCCAAAAATGGGAAATGGCAAGGGGGCATCGCATGGGGTTCCAGTGACAAAGCGTGATGGGGAAAACCCGCTTGAAGGGAAACAACATGTCCCTTGCAGAAAAATGGGAATGCTCCTGCTGCAGTTCCTTCTTGCATCCTTGCGCACTTGTGTGTGTGTGTCCTAAAGTTAGGGCCCCTGTTGAAACTGTTGGTACCCTTTTGGCTTTCCTTTTGGCCTCCCTTTGTACAGTTGGGTTTCTTCTGGGTTTGATGTCACCCTCCCTCCAAAAGTGCCGCCACAGTGCCGCCACTTACACTGATACTTGGCACACCTATTTAAGGCTTTTTTATCAACCCCTGTCGGGTTCGTATGTGGAATGCGTGTACTGCCATGTTCCCCACTCACAGCAAGCAAGTACCCCTTACCCATTTTCCTGAAGGCGACAAGTCAGGGCCTCACTTGGAAAGAAGCCTGTGTTCCTTTGTCGGCATTTGGAAAGGCTGGAGGGAGGCGACTTGAGTCACAATCAAAACCCGGTACAAAAAAGGTCGACCCAGAACCATTAAGAAGGCGGACATCCGCAGCTTAGGCAGCTTTGTATGGCAAGGGGATTGTCCCTTACTTATGGTTGGGATTGTCCCTTACTAACCTTCATCTACACGGGTTTTGATAGCAAGCCTTACTAACCTTCATCTACCCGAATCGGTTTTAAGCACGTGGCTCACGGACTGTGTCCTGAAAACGGTCCGGCCGGGGTCCCCCGCCCGGGTGGTCGGCTTGCCGTTCACCATGTACACGCCTCCCCGGCCCTCGGCGAGGGCGCGGCCCACCGCCACAGCGGGAGGCCCCGCTTTGGGCATGTCACCGGAGAGCGCGCCGCCCGCGCTCTTGGCGTAGGTCCTGTGAATCCAAGCCGGGAAGTTCTGAATCCCCTTGATTCAAGCAACCAGTTTTGATTGTCATCCAGCTGGTGGATTTTGAGGTGTCATCCAGCAGGTGATTTTTAGGTGATCCGCCCAGAACGAAACAAAGTCCGGAAACTCGGAAACATAGGTGTCCTCTTGGGAAAATAGATGGCCCTGGTAAATGGAATGAAACGCATCTAAACCAGTGCCATCTATTTCTCACCAAACTAACCTAGAAAGGACACCTGTGCTCTGAAAGCTTACTAAAACGTCGGCCCTCCTGGCGGGCCCCATGCTGCTGGTGTAGGCCGAGGTGGCGGAGGCAAAGGCGCCGGCAGCCACGGGCTTGCCGCTGACGATGTTCAGCACGCTGGCGGGCGCCGCTTGGAAAGGCGCCGAGGGCAACGGCCTCGTTGCGCAAAAGTCGAGCTCGGGTTTTTCCCCGTCGCGGTGGGGAAAAGATGTGTAGGTTCCAAGTCTCCCCTGTTCATGGGGGCTGGAGGGGAGGGAGGGGAGGGGGAGGGGTTCCAAGTCGCCCCTTTGGGTTGGCTTAAAGGTCATTGGATCATTTGCTGGGCACTCTTAAGGTCCCTTTAAGGGGGATGATGTTTCATTGGGGAAGAGGGAATCCTGTGGGAACATGGACCACATCCTTAGGGGCTTGTTCACAAGACTCCTCCGTCTGCTTTCACCTCAAAGCAACCCATGCCTGGTGGTTGCAACATTTGAACATTGTTTGTTGGTTGATCTCAACGGAAACACTAAAAGGCAGAACCCACTGGAAAACCAGCTATGCATCAACCCTCAAAGGGTTGCAGGCACAACGGTCCTCCCTCCCGTCACCCCGCCTGGACCCCATGGACGCCATCGCCGCCTTGGCCTTGGCCTTGGGCGCCGCTGCCTCCGCCTTGGCGCCCACGCCACGCGACACCACGGAGCCCGTGGCAGACATCCGCTCCGCCGCGCTCATGGGCTTCCTTGCGGAGCCGAAAACCGGCCGAAACGAAAACCGGAGACGGAGGGAAGTGGGCGATGCCCTTCCCTGGCAAGTGGCGCATTCGCGTTGGCGCTTCTGCCGTTTTCTACGTTCTCTTCCATTGTTGGCGTACGTTGCAGGAAAAGAGGGACAGTCAAATGGAGCCAGAAACCAGCTCAGCGCACCGAAAATTGCACCGAAGACCCGGGTCCTGCCCTCCTCCATGACCGCAGCCGCCGAGGCGGGTGGCGCGCTGGGAGCCTTGGACGCCGCCTTCGGTCCGGCCGACGCCTTGGCGCCTGGGGCCATGCCCATTGCCTGAGGCAACGAGCGGTGGAATGAGAGGGCGGTGCTTGGGCAAAAAATGCCCCCCAAAGTGAAGAGATTCTCTTTGAGGGGAACCTGGTGTTTCCCCAAAAACACGTTTTGTTGCATTGATATGGGCTTAGATGTGGGTATGTATCAAAACTGGATTCCTCTTTGAGACAAACCTAAGTGCCATGGCGTGCCCTTCTGACTCCTTGTGGGTCTGTGTTGAAGATCAAACTCTTGGACTTGCCCTGTTACGCTGGCTAATCAGGCCATGGAGTATCCCTAACAGCATCTGCCAAGATTAAATCCAGAGAGGGCTGCAAGCTATTTTGGAGGATGTGTTGCTGCAACAAAAGTATATAGCCTCGTAGTGGGCGGGACTCTGGCCCAATGGTCCAGTAAACAGCGGCAGGTACGAAGTTTTAGCCAACCTTTGATTTGGGCAGGCAACAAAGCTGCCGAAAGGTGGGTTGAGGGCAGGCTTTGGATTCCTTTGGGGGTGTGTCACTTTAAAGGTCATGCCAAATCCAAACAACCCCATAAACAAGCGGGTGGGGGGGACCAACCCACCGACCAACCGACCGACGGACCAGGGACCCTGCCATGACCCAGCCCTCCAACCCTCGAAGAAAATCAAAATGTTCTAAAACGCCACCTTCGCCATGGCTTCGCCATGGGTCAAAGGGAACAAACCAAAACGCCCACCGCTCCACCGGTCTGCCGCTCCGCGCCTTGGAGCCGGCCATCGCCCCCGAAGGCGCGGCGGCCGCCGCCTTCTTCAACGCCGTGGCCTGGGGCTTCGCCTCCCGCTGCTCCGCCGTCTGCGCCACCTCCTGCGGGCCGAAGGGAAAGGCGACTCGTCCGAATCGGCCCACGCAAAGTGGGGACACCTTCTCAGGAAGGGAAAAAACCACATGGCCATGGAGAGGAGGTAGGAAAAAACAAACTTGGGCCCTTGTCTGCCAACTCGAAAGAAAAAAAGGAGAGTTCGCGAGACCAGAGAACCCACAAACCAAGAGAACGAAGCACAACTCTCGGTTTTCATTTTTGTGGTGCGAAGTCAGCACGCTGCTTTTGCTAACCTGCAACGCACGACGCGCCACGAATCTTGTTGCGGAGGTATGTAATGGGGGTCCTTGTTTCGCAGGTGTGTAACGGGAAAACATTGCTTTGCAAGTATCAGTAGCACAATGTAACACAGAACAACAGCTCGAAAGTCGCAGCTGTTCAGTGCAAGTGCAATACGCAAAGCACACCTCTGCAGCTCCAGCTTGAAATTGCAACTGCTCAACGCAAACCAAGCGACGGCAAGAAGGGGGGGACGATGGCCGGAGCTGGGGTTGGGTCTGTAACGAGGTACGTACCGGTAATGTAACGAGCTGTGTAACGAGGCATACCAAAGTGCAGCACGCAAAGCGAACTCCGCAGCTCCAGCTTGACATTTGTAACATTTGGCCACTCTTCAACGCAAGCCAAGCGAAGGCAGAAAGGGGGTCCTTCGCCCGAGACACGTAACGGCTTTGTAGCACAGAAAGAAATGTTTCTTCCGGCCTCTGTTCCAACTTGTCGCTTTTCGTTTAGCACCTGTCAAGGTCACGAGTTTTACCCGAAAGGGGATCTGCATGGCTGCAGCATCTTGTACCTTTGCTGCGGACAACGCAGCGCGTCTTGAGTAAAAGCACAGTTTTTTGACAACTTGGAAAGGCTTTTTAGCTTGAAGCATGTGCGTTGGCCAAAGAGCTGACAGGGCGTCTGGAACTCGACAAGCTACGCACGCAGAGGTTCTGGTGTGGAAATGGCAGTGTTTTGTTTGAGGGGTCTGCAGCAGAGCGGACACTCGTCTTTGACCTCTGTACAGACCTCTGCAGCAAGACTCGCTGGCTCGTTACACGCCCTCCTTACATACCTTCGTTACACACCTCATGAACAAAATCGCCTGGCTGGTTGCGTGCCAATCGTTACCCCGATGCATGCCTAGGCTGTCGCCTCGGCCTCGCTGCCTTTCCACGGCGCAATCCCCTCAAATCTACCGGCAGAGATGCTCTTGGGGAAACGGATACCCAGTCCCGGAAGGCCCTGGCTTGAAGGCGGTTGGGAAATAGCCACAACTGTTTTCAGGGGAATGTCTCAACAGCTTCAGGGAGCTAAACACTCAAACTCAGCATAAACTGGGAGGGGGGGGTGGATTCCTATAGACAAACCTGGGCTGTCCTCCGATCCCCTGCTACAAGTTTAACTTTTAGTGGGTAAAATGGACATCCCCACTAAACACTAGGCTCAAAAAAGCTAAGGAACCGGATGCCTAAGCACCAAGAAACAGGGCCCGTCCTGGGGCTTCGCCACAGGCACCACGCTCGGGGCCTGCGAGGGAGGAGTAGGAGCGGACATGGCGCTTGAGGTGTTTGAGGCGTTTGAGGCGGACGGATGTAGCTGGGGTCTCGCTTGAGCGAAATGCTGGCGAAACGGCGAGCGGTTCAAGATGCTCAGCGGGATACCGTCTAGCTTGTAACGAGGTATCAAGTCTTTGTAGTTGAAGCCTTGTCAAAATGGAGGCTTGGCCACGAAAAAAAGGACCAAACAAACCAAGCTATCTCACCTGCGGCGTCATCTGTCAACGTGAGACCAATTTGTTGGTCTCCCCTTCTCAACTTGCTTGGCTCTCCCTCATCAAAGCTGAAAAGGGAAAACCGAAGAGAACTCTCTACGCCGCTTTCAGGGTTCAAAGCCCGTTTCATGGCGCCCCCCCCTTTTCGCACGAATGGCCACCCCGGTGAAGGGAAGCGCCAACCAGGACCGCGACTTTGACAACCCCCAGAAACAAGCGGGAACTGGGCCTCAGGCTTCGTTCTCAGTCCTCCTTTCATCCCAAGTGATAGTTCCATTGAAACCAGCTAACATCGGGAAATGCCCAAAGCAAACCCCCCTCCCAGTGCTTGGCCGGGCGAAGGCACGAGTTTATGACGCAATGCCCCTGCGGCACAGTGTCCCTTCTCTGAATAACAAGAATAGGCTTCATCTTGTTCAGCAGGACCTGTGCACCTTCAACCGCAAAAGGTGTTCCCCCCAGACCTGCACGCTGGCAACCCACTCGGGTCTCAGGTGCCGCACAAAGGACGAAGAAGATGCCCTGAAGGCGAAGGCCACGGATCTCAGATTCATCCAAATCCTGGTTGCCAAGAAAACCCTCCTGGCGTGTTGGGAACTTTGGACCATTCTCCGGAAGGTTAAAAGTCTTTTCGGCGGTAGGCAAGTTCTGTGGGTCCGTTGTAGCCGGACTCGGATCCACAGTCCTGGGTTCACAAAGCTCTCGCCTCTGCACCACCTGTACAGCTGCCGTCTCCTCCATCCGCATTTCGTGACATTCCCGCCATGCGCAATGGCTGCGAGGCTCTTTGAGTCTCGGCTGGCCTGGGCCACTGAGACTCATGTCACATTTTTACATGACCAGTTCGTCCGCGCGGTGCGGCTCGGGGTTCGGTTTCTGCCTCTGACACCTGTGGTTTGGATGGGCAAGGTGTCCGGGGTCATTCCGAGATTCCCTGCGGAGAACCCCCAAAAAGGGCGGCGGCTTGCAACAAAGCCGTGGCTTCCGGTCACCTGGCCTTCAAAATCTGCATGCCCGCCCAGCTGTGAACAAGAACTGGAAGGGTTGAAGATGTCCCAAGCCCCCGCAGACATAGAAACCTTCTGGATCCCTCTACCTGCGTCCCATGTCAAACTTAGGATTGAAGATGGCGGGACTCGTTTTGCAACGTACCCAAAAGGGATTCCCGGCGTTGACTCGCCATGTTGGGTGGGTAGGGGAAACCAAAAGGAAACCAACCACGTGGATGGATCCCCATTTGCGAGAAACATCCAAGCAGCAAACATCCCTTCTTCATGTTGCGCTGTCCAAGGCGCAAAACGAGTCATAGCTTTGTTAAGCCTTCACATGAGCCACGGTCAATACTCAGCTGCGGTGATCCGAACTGACGCCACAGGTGATCCCCCTTCACAGCAGATAGCAGTCGATGCAGTACCGCTGTTTGCGAATTTGCTGGGAATGAAGCTTGATTTTCCGGTCTCTCCCATATCCTCCGCGACCCCCATTTCCGACACTTCCTTAAGCAAGATAGCACCCTGAACAAAAAGATCCCTGATAAATCTGCGCTGATCGTCTGTACCATAAAGATAGATTTGCTCTACAAAAAAATGCAAAAACAAAGAACAAGAAGCCACTGAAAACAATCAGTTCCTCCTCAAAAGAAATGTGTTCTTCGCAAAGAGGCACATCAAACACCAACCAGCGGGCCCACTTTTAGATATTGCCCCCTCCCCAAACCGTTTGCTTCTCGGCCGACTGTCTTTCAGCACCAAATTGGGGAAACCCTATTAGCCTTCAAAAGGCAACCGGAAGGACCACCGTTGCCATTTGTGGTTGTTTCATCAGATCCGGTGGGGCATCATCTTGGCATCTGAGCTCTGAAACCCAAATCACGCTTGAAAGCCGACTCATACGTGCAAACCCGGCCCAGATGCTGACAACCGGAGAGCAAAACCCAAAACCGGACAAGGCATAGGCCCCTCCAGCCCGCCCTGAGCCCTGCCTTGACCACTGGGGAACTGGGCGGCACGCCTCGCTGGGCCTCCAGCTCGGCCACCTGCGAGCTCGAAAGCTGACGCCTCGCCAGGCAAAACCGCCTGACGAATCGCCGGGGAATTTCCGGAAACTCATCAAACCCTCCAACTCCTCTTCAGAAAAAAAACCCTCTTCTGTGGAGATTCCTTGCTGCCAGGGGGGGAACAAAAAAAAGAAACGATTTACTCAGGGCTCGACATTATCTGTTGGACACTTGGGCGCAACCTTTGCGTTGCCGCGAAAGGGGAACGACAGGCATGCCCATGTCATCTTACATCTGCGCCAATGGTCCTGA